ATGATACATAAGTTTGCTAACTTGTGGTCATTGGACCGCAATAATTTCACAATCGTATCCCTATCTATGTATACAACAACTACGATAACGTAGAGTAGAAAATTACGTTTTGATAATGAAGGGGCACGTGAAGATATAGATAGACAATGACTCATTACATTTCTTATAAATTTAAAGTGATCATATCTGAAAACAAGTTAAACGTTTATACTGAATTATGACGTCATAAAATTACAATAGCACAGATCTTTAGAAATTTTTAAAAATGGAATCACGTGGCAAAAAGAACCTTAACTTTTTTTTAACAGTGCCATGCACAGAGTCTATTATGATATTGAATATTGACTATATTATGTGGCCAAGTCGTCTATTCAGTTTCCAGAGTATTAGAAATTCTATATTGATATATTATGCCGTCATCGGACTGTATTCTTGGCATAAGATTAAAGACTATTTGACAGATGAGGTCATTATGCCTCCGCACTGTCAATCCATGTTGTCCCAAGGTACTATCCTTTAAGCTAATTCCATAGATCAAAGTGATGACCTAGATGAAGGTAAAATCACACAATCACATAGAAAACTTGTAAAAGAACGAGAATCGAGTTACAATATGGAAATAATATAACACTACGATGATTCAAAGTTTATTTACATTACTATCGATATTTAGTCATCGTTTTATGTTTATTTAATAATAAAATAAACGTTTCAGAATATCAGAGTGATATCATCCATAGAATGCTATACCCGAAGAGTATAATGAAGAAAATGTAATTTTACCGTAACTGCAAAGTAGGTGTAATTCGCAAAACCAAGCAGAGCGGCGCCCTAAATACTAATTTGGTGTTCACGCATAAATCGCATAGGGAAATAATTCCCAAACTATGGATCGCCAATCCCCAGAGTATCGTAAACATATGAGACGTATATATTTTTATTACAATTATAATTAATAAGAGAGCATTAAGTAGTTCCACGACTCTCTCGCCCTCTCTATCTTGAAGACAGTAAAAGCGGTTCCCAGGTTGGAAAGATTTGATTTTGTTAGACAGGTCGGGGCCTAATCAACTTTGGGATCCATTGACATTATTAATAATAAAGTGTAAGTCTGACCACTACCATACCAACCACTAGAATAAATTTCAATAAACCTTTTGCACTAAATATTTAGAAAATCTTAAACATTAATTATGTTGTTTCGGATCTTTGCTTTACCTTATAATTTAAGGACGAGGGGGAAATCAAAGTTTATTATATTGTTATAACTAAGAATAACTAAGCAAAGTTTCATCATTGTTATGCCAATATGAATAATGTTTATAATGACGACAAATTAGATGCTATTTCTCAGTGAATGATTATTATTATTGATAGTGTATAACAATGTCACTGTTGTTTGTGTGTGTTTACAATCACAGTACGTGTTTTATACAACAAACACAGACAACTCTCATATCATATAGTTCATGAATTTCCTTTGGTCGGCTACCGTTTGTCATTCAATCAGTTAAAGTTTCACTTTACAGTAATGTGTTATGTAACGGACAATATCCTTAGCGCAATAGATATATTAAACGCACAATTTGTAAAGCCTAACATCGGGATGTGTAACTGCATTCGACTGTTCTCAAAATCTTATTTTTACTAATATTATAAAGATTATTAGCGTGCATCGAAAAGGAATTGAGTAGCTCAGTGGCGTAGTGGATAAGCGCCGCGGCCCGCGATCTTAGTCGTTAAGCAACTTTCGCTAGGGTCGGTCACGGGATGGGTGACTAAAAAATTATTATCTCGAGCTACTCCGTGCTGCCGTTGGTCCCGGCTGCATTTGCAGTCGTTAATACCCTCCAATCCGCATTGGACCAGCGTGGAGGGTTATGGCCCATCCTCTTTAACCATCCATAAGGAAGACCTGAGCCCCAGCAGTGGGGACGTAAAAAAGGGCTGGTGATGATGATCGAAAAGGCTCGGAAACTACTGGCCTGAACATTGTTGAGAATGCGCTCTGTAGTAGCGAAAAGTAACAAGTGCTTGAAAGATTCGTCGGTCCTGTTAGGTCCTGGGCAGCTCAGCGGTAGTCGCCCGGATAGCGAAAGGTCGTAGGTTCGATTCCCATCTCAGGGTGCCAGGGACCAAGTGGATATTTTAAAGCATTTTGTATTAAGAATACTGGGTCGATGTCAAAATTTTTTTCACTTACAGCAACCTACATCATACGCGGATGACATACAATATCTACGCGAGCGAGAAGTCGCGAGAAAACAGCCGGTTGTTACTATAAACCATCATATTATAGGAATTTGTGTAGTTCATTGTTTGTATTTGATAAATTCGCTTAGTGCTTATCAGAATGGCAGTTATCTGATATGAAACGCAATATTGTACTGGTTAAGCGTACTGATAAAGTTAATAAAACTACTTACTAGGAGTGAAAAGGTTCACACTAGTTTTTAAATTACTTTAAAATGTTAATTACGAATTAGCTTTGGATATTGTTAGCATAGACTGTCGTCTGATACGTGCTAACCATGTTAACATATCAAGTTAATTATATCTAAATAAAAAAAAAAAATCGTTGAAAAATGTTTACAGTTACTTAGAGATCAAAATTATAAAACAGCAAATTAAATATTGGTCTATCAATCTATAAATTCACGCCGTATCCCATGCGTGGTATGCAGAGACATTCGTCGCGAAGAGCTTCAATTATTTTCCTACCACACATGAAGTATAATGTCATTTATTTTATTCAGCCTTTTTTCACTCTAGATCGTATAATGTAGTTCTCTTGTAGCACGCCCTAATCCCCTTTCGGAATGGTTTACTTTGCAACCGATGCAAAGTAAATGTATTCTGGGCTTGGCGAGTTCCATTAGACGATCGTCAAAGGTCATCTTGGGAACGATCCGTTACTGGATATTCCTTGTAAATATATTTTAATAATTTCTGATAGTTCGTAAAATATATGTTAAAATTCTAATCAACCTTCAAGTTAATGCTTTTATGTCCATGGTCAATATTTCCGAGTTCAAAATCAATCAGTTAATGGCGTGATGGAAACAGTTTGACTTAAGTGTAACAACTGAATTTAATTATTCTGGTAAATTAATAATGGCGATTAAATAATTTTGAAACTTGGCTTGTATCTAAATGAATAATAATAAAGAAATAAACAAAACAGTAACGTGTCCGTACATTCAAGTACACAAGTGAACCAACTATCGTTTTCGTTTAAAATTAATTTCCCTATGAAGTATTTATAGTGTATCTGATTGGGCAATGGTATTTAATTATACAGCCAATTTTGAAGTACCTTTTATTGTATAAGCATCATCGTTTGATTCATATATATCGAAAAATGGTCTATACTTGTCTTAATACGTAAGGTAAATCAATCGGAAACAGCTATGAGGCATCAAACGATTTGTCGAAAAAACATGACTAAACGAACTTAATATGATAATAATACTAACAATATTGCATTTCTGTAAAAAGTATAATATACCGTAAAATAGAATTCATAAGGTTTCATATCACGGATATAATTACTCATACTCATTTGTCTCATTCGAATTATTATTGTTTCCATTTTGCTCAGATTGATCTTTCAAAACCATCTTTTTATCGATTTACATTTCTGGATTTGTGTACACAGAAATTTTGTCCAGTCTACCTCTATTCTGTTGATTGATGTCCCAAAGCGCTTGCCATTCGTTTTAAAATGTAATTTTGGAAGTGTCAATAATCTTGACTATAATTCTCATATGGTACTATGCCTCTGCAAGTTACAGCTTCTTTAGCTAATAGGTCAGCCTTAGTATTGCCATCGATCCCAGAATGCCTGGGAATCCATGTAAATTCTATATTAAAGCCTTTCGTTTTACATTCGTAAATTAATTCTCTAGTGACAAGAAGTACTGGTGAATGTACTTTTATTTTGAAGGGAAACTCTAACGCTTGAAGGGCACATAATGATTATGATGACTTTAGTGTTGTCTCGTTATTTATAAAAGAGACGGTGAAAGAATTTCATAGCGCAATTCACGACCCGTAACCAAACCTCTGCCGATTCGAACATTAAAACCGTTCCTGACATTTTCCCTGCTATTAAAATTTAGTTTGTGGCCATCAGTTGCTCGTAATCGAGTTAATGGTCGGCCTAATGGGCGAACATTTTCTGGTTCTAGAGAAACAGGCAGATAGTATGTGTGATAAAACGAATGCGGAAGCGATCACTCTCGTTTTCGATTCTAGTCTAAGCACATCTGCAATCATCGTGATCTTTCCTACTACAAGTATACTACTTTACTAAAAAATATTCTAGAAAACCTGTATTATTGACAGAACTGGAGAGTAGTTTTGTCATAAGTTTACGTTTATGACTTAGAATTATTCATGAAAATCACTTTCAAAACGATAATTAAACTATTTTAGTTGAATGGAATAACAAAGGCAACATTTGTTTTTATTAGGCACTAGCTTTCGACAATTAGTTCCATTTCAAGAGTTGGCACCGAACTTTATGACAAACTACGGGATATTCGCATCTATCCTTGTTTCAGAATTAGAATCATCAATACTAGTAACATTTGTAGTATTAAATACATCAAAAATCAAAATCTTTTATAAATACATACATGTTTATTTATAAATGAGTAGCACAGAATGCCAGCTGAGTTTTCAAAAAATGGGCACCAAAGAGTTACAGACAATTTCTTTATACTATTTTAAAGTAGTTTAGCTCAAAATCTTCACTGGCTTTTAAAAATAATATTTTTAACAGTGATCGAAACAGGTATACCTGTTTTAGATGATACACATATCATCTAAATTATCAGCCATTGGTATTAAGCATGTAATGAATTAGGATTTAACGTAGTTCATTACGCTATAGGTATTTGACTGTTTATAATGCGGAGAGGAAAACATATAACATAGGTATTTGATTTGCGGATAAGAAAACTTGTCCTTATCAATTACAAGACGTTTTAACTTACCTAATGACTAGATCCAAGACATCTTCTCTGTCGAACACCTTGCAGTATAAATGCAAGATCTTAAGACAGGAATATTGAAGACCTGTCCATGTAAGCTGCGCAGACTTGAGGGCTTCATCCCAGAGGCAGTTGTCATGTCTCGACAGGCAAAGCATGCCGTCGCGCCCTGTCTCCGTAGGCGGCATTTAACGTAAGGCCTTTCTGTTTGTCTTTGATATTTGATTTATTCTTCGCATTGACGGAATTTATTTTGTTTAAAACACTATACACACTGTTCGTGGTTCACTGTTTTCCTACTGTACTGTGATCTGTTTCAATTTGTTGTTCGTGAAGGAAATCGGAATTGTGGTCAACGGAATTAACGTTTAATTTCGTCTTAACCAATAAGGTCAATTAACTTTTCAGGGAAACATATGTGGTGACTGCTTCGCATTAAAATCTAAGGCAACAAGAGAGGCTCATTTTTTTTTTACAGAAAAATCAATGTTTTGTGTGCTGTTTAGGATAAAAATAACTAACCTAACGTATGGCAATTTGTAAAAACGTTGATACATAAATAGGTTGCCGTAACTGAACTGTCGTAAGCGACTGACCATTCTTTCAAGCACTTGTTACTTTTTTGCTACTAGAGCGTATTTTCATCAATGTACAGGCAATCAACACAGCCGAAAGTAACATTTTTAAAAATAATAGAACTTTCGATAAAGAGGAAAAAAACCAGGACCAGGGATTTTTTTATTAAGAATATCTTCCAGTATAGCATCGTGAATCCAAAATTGATCAAAATATAGTAATAAGAAAAATTTTTCATATTTATCGAGTTTAAAATATTTGTAAAAAATATTTCTACAAATATTTTTTGGTGGGTAGTTTGGGTGGACTGCCTGAAAAAGTAAGAAGTGCTTGAAAGATTTGTCCGTCTCCTGGATTGCGAAAACTCGTGGGTTCGAATCCCATCTCAGAGTATCAGGGATAATATGGATTTTTTAGGCACTTTTCATTAAATATATTTTCTAGTAAAGCATTGTATATACAAAATTGATTAAAATATAATAATAACTAAAAGTAATTAAATAACAAAGCTTACAGGAAACAGTATTCAGTTCGCAATAAAACAATAAGGAAAGCCACTGGTGATATTCGCTGTGAGGCGTAGAATAGGAAGTTCTAATTTAAACAATTCACATTGTCTCGGCTATGTTCATTTTAAAAGGAGTTTACCCAACACTGAATTGTATTAGGATTGCAAAATGTTAAAATTAATAGTACGTTTATATCGGTTGCCACTTCTATGTTCTGTGGGTTGTCCCCTTAAAGGTTGCTGATATAAGAGTATTGTCATAGACTTGAGAGTTAGTTTCAGATAAATTTTAGACATTTTGATTTTATCGTTGGGAAGAATCATAACAATTTATTAATGAATTGTTCATCAAATAGTCGGTCTAACATAAACTAATGTTGTAATAGTATAATATATGATGGTAAAGTTATTTCAATTCATTTTTGAACCCACACTTACGGTGGCAAACGGGACTAATCCGTGGTTTAACGTAAATGCATTGTTTCATGTTATCTGACCGTGTGGGGACTTAAAAGGGTTCTCTCATTTTTAAACTACGATAACATTCATGAATTTTAAGTGATTCTACAAAAAAAAATTGTCAGTTAACTGTAGTAGAAACATTCAAAATTTAGTGATTAATCATTAACTAAGTACTCGCAAGTGAAACTATTTAAATAAAACGAGATATAAATCAAGATCTTCAATGAAGAGATTTAAAAGAATCAGGTAATGCTTGAATCAGATAAATATTTAAGATAAAGGAACTGATAAAATAAGAGCACAAGGTGAAGTAGTGATGCGACTCGAGCCCTGTTTTTATTCATGTCACTCTACCGAAACTTTCAAAAATCGTACTTAAGTGAAAAAATATCACTAGAGCCTCTATGCACTCGAGTTATCGAGTCAACTCGGCGCATCGAGTTGATGCTCTTTCTACAAAATGTGACTCTACTTTATTTATCTATGCCGCTTATTTTTTTATTTTCTTAATTACATTAATAAATATGTATTTTCTTTATATTTTAAAGGTATTATTTAAAATCACTTACAGAAATCTCACTCGAGTAGCACGTTTGCAATTTTTTTACAAGAGTTAGTACAAAGCTCGAGTTTGATTCGAGCGAGTTAGTTAAACGACTGAAGAGACTCGAGTCACAAAATCCTAATTGAGTCGCATCACTTAGGTGAAGTTGAGGCAGTTTCGCAAGATTCTCGGGATATAAAAATGGTATATATGTATTTTTAGTTTGAAGAGTGATCATAAAAGAGTAACAACATTCATGGCTATAGCGATACTCGTAATATTGCAGATATCTTTAATTTTATTGATATTCTGACACATGAACATGATTGAAGAGCGCTTCAAATAGTATTCATGTCGTTTAATATGTTGTTCTTTTTATGCTTCTGCGATTTATACCGTTTATGCTTCATAAATGATCCATGTAAACACTAACAGCGCTATTAATAAACAAAGTGTAGTGTCAGAGTAAATTTACGCTAAAATTTTAATTTTAGTATTAGTCCCAATTCATATTATGCAGAGAATAAGCAAATCTACTATTTTCTAGGAGTAAGAACCTTGAACTGGGTAACCCTTGTTAAATCTCTGTTCAATAATAAGAATTTTAACGAATACTAAGTTACTCTAATGCTAAAACTTGTTTATTAATAACACTGTAATTGTATTAGGTATGTGATTATATTTCAATTTTTTTTTTTTTCAAAATGAATTTTGAAAAACCGAAGTTTTAGTCCGCATTACATTTAAATGGACGCCGCTTAGGTATAGCTCAAATGTGAAACCATATACATTGCGGTACGTGTTTCTAGTTGGCTAATACATGTACTTGTATAGAAGGTTATGTGTTACAAACGTCGGTTTCAGACTTGCGCTTAATACCAGTGAAGTCTGAGCTTTGATCTCCATATCTTGCAATAAAGGTAATTAAGAAGACACTTTGAATCATATCATAAGAAGTTGTCAAATGTAAAAGTGGATAAAATGAAAATTTTCATACACAAGAGAATTGACAAGGGACAAGACAACCTACCAATATATGCAGCATTCACTCTACACAATTCACTTAACAGAGATATGCGTTACCATTTAAATCAAAGTCAAAATAATCTTTGTTCAAATAGACTTCTTAAAAGTACTTTTGAATCGTCCAACATTTTTTTTCAGGACGTCTTTTGGCGATAAGAAGAACGAGCAAGAAACTCACCAGCTAATAGGAGTAATGACATTCACAAAAACCATGTCATTACCAGATCAATACATTATAAATCGAGAGAGAAAAAACTATGGCCTTATAATGATAACTTAATAATATTGGAAATAAGATAATTTTTGATATATAATAAGTTTAGAAGAAATAAAAAAAATATAGGACAGGGACGTGCGTCAAATCTAATTCTTACTTATTAACATAAAGGTATATATGCAATGACTAAATGAGTCCTAAAAGTAGATGATTTATGTTGCGAACTTCTAATCGCAAATTAAGATTTCTCTATATGGCATGGCTACTTCCAACATGGTAAGCGGATCTAAATGTAGACTTAGATATGCGACTAATGCTTATATAAACTGAATAAGAATAAAGTATAGTTTGCATTTGGACCTTATTATTGGTCCAATTAAAATAATTTTTATAGCAGTAGTTTGAAAAATAGTGGGGTAATCGTAAATATATAGAACGGTATTGTTTGAGCTCCCTTATCTATACAAGTTACAATAATTGTAGTGATAATATTCTAAAGGGAATATGAGTCATCGAAATCGTTCCCATCCATGACTTCCCATTCCGTTGAAAATATTATATAAAAGTCAATCGTTCAGTTGCACAAACGTCTATTAAGGTTTAAAGACGCCTTTAAGCTCCAATGAATGTCAAAATTGTATGGGTAATGTCACTTTAAACTAATGAAAATTTTAATGGACTTCTGTGCAACTATCTGTATATTTTTCACAATTAATTGCATCATCTTTTAGTGTAAGTTCTAAATCTGTAATCATAATTTGAGAAATGAATCTTTTTAGGCACTGTATTAATGTGATAATTCTTGAATTTTTCAATGAAAATTACTCGGTCGTCGAACTCAGTAGCAATTTATCCGCGACTGTAGCAATAAAAACGTCGGCGTGTTCCTAACATCGAGTTTCTTCTCGAAATACTACGTGTGCTACTCCGCAATTTTACATACCATTTCTTTCATTAGTGATATAAAATGTTTCAACGTTCCCGTCACGTCAAAGGGAAATAAATACATACTTTGATATAAATGAGTCCATAATATCTTATTGCTATGACGTGTTACAAGAATTTCTGTCTGTCTTTTTCTGTCAAGTATGCAATCATCTCTAAATAAACGAAATTGATTAGTTTCTTATGAAACAGTACCAGGAATGGTTGATTTAATGATGTGAGAAAAATTACCTAATATTTTTAAAATTGCATCAGCAATCAATCTAAACATAATAAACCACGGAGCCTCGGTGGATCCGAAAAGTCTAAAAATTTTACAAATCAAAACCGTTAAAAATTATTCGAAGCACATAGTCTTTAAGATATCAATTCAATCGAATTGTTATAAGTTATGAAGATAAATGCAACAGAAATAGGTCAGGATGAGACTAAGTAGTGAATGATGTAAGGTTTCCAACAATGCTGCATGTAGGTCGTCAAGAGCGACATACATAGTAACGCACTACTAACATAGATTTGAAAATAACTAATCTATTAGTGTGTACTATTAAAAGAAACAGAGATATGTACCGCGAAACGACGTCTTATCTGTACAAAGTTCTTCGGTGGACTGATAAGGGGAACGCCTTTAAACTGGAAATCTGACATTTCCGTCTCCTTGCGGATATCACTCTGCGAGTTGGGCTAGACAGGACGGGGACGTGCGTCAAGGGCTAAAGATACGCTATTATACAATTTCCGTCTGAACTCGCCCGAGTCCGAATCATCTACCTTTTTCGACCCAGGGAAAATGCGTACCCCACGGAGTAGTCGTTAGGACAGCCATCCCTTGTGAGGGTATGTTTGTGCCTTACCCCAGTCAGCCACCCACGCTGGCTCCGTCAGAAAGGGAAGTATCCACCTGCGCCACCTTTTGGTCTATCCCTCGAGGACCCCTTTCCTACCTAAATGGTCATAGCACACTTTTTCCTTTTTTGACCCAGGATAAATGTGTTACACACTATCTCAGCTGCCTGACGGAGCGGCAGGGGGGGTGTTTTTGAAACTAGAAGCACCTCACAATCACAATGTTGCTCACCGAATGAGCGAAACCACCTGTGACCTCACTGCAAGGTGCGAAGTGCGTCTGACAGAATAAACGACTGAGGTCGTACTCTTAAAGCC